TATCGCGTCCCAGGGGTCCGTTGGAAGTGGAAATGAGCAAATACCTAGGCCACTCATGGCATGTGTTGGGTTATACCCGGTTTTCTAAACATTTCACCCTGTGTTCCAGGAGGAAAAGTACAGAAAGCGGCAAGATATATATATTTTTTTTTTACTTTACATAGGCAACAGATGCAGTGTATTTCTACCATGAATTATTATTGCTCTTATGTGCGCCATGTTGCTTTGACTACAGCCAGACGATGTCATTCCGCCTCTGGATACCATTATTTACGTGGACAGCAACGGGAGCCCGTCTTAACCCCACAACATTCTGTCTAATACTGTACACTGTTTCTCTCGCCGTTTAACTTTCATTTTTATTAACAATGTGAGACTTTTCTCTACAACTATACGTGAATATCTACTTAAAATAATTTGTCGAACACGCACAGTGCAGTACACGAGAAAACTATGCAACTAATTCACTCCAGAATATAATGAAAAACTTTACATTAGCAGTTATCTGAGAGTGGCTGATGGGTTTAAATTTGCCTGTACTGTATTTATCGGATAATGAGGAACTATAAGAAGTAAAACCCTCTCTTGAGAGATCTCTTCTCTGATGAGATGTTCCTCGTCATCCCGCGTGCTTCTGAACATTTTTATCCTTTAATATTATCTTGCTTGTCGTGGGAGACATCGGGGTAAAATCTACTGAGAAGACTTTGCTGTCTGAGGTTGAAGATGGGTGACTCACACGTCCTCTCCAGTGGTTCCCTGGGCCACCCTGGGCTGTCAGGTGTTTTTTTCCTCGAAGATTTTACCGCAGTTGAGACATTTTCCACTGTACTAGCAGTGTGACCCATTAATAAAACGTTATGTTGAGGAGTGTTGCGGCAGCACCAAAACACACCTAACGTAATGACAAAAAAGAAAGGGATGTCTGGGAAAGTCAGGAGGGCTGGACTGCAGATCCAGGAACGATAATAGCTGGCCACACCTAACGCCCATCACTTATAATAAAAGAATGCACAAACTGTAGGTTGAGTATGTACTGTCAGCAAAGAAATGTTCTGCACCCTTTGGTCTGGTGGCCTCAGCAACCATCACTAACTGAGGCCATGTTAATTTGGTAAGGTTGGTATTTCTGGTTGTGTGATGCATTGTATAACCAGAATGATGTATTTCTTATATCACATATAGTTAATACAGAGAACATTAACATGAATCACCCACGTAAATGAGTGTTGTTCAGAATTCTTGGTCCGGTGTGTCATATTGTATAACACCATAAAGGTGCAGAGTTTTTTTTTTTTTTTTTTGGTGACTGAACGCCTGTCTGTCACCGTAAAAATTACCGAGATACTACAATGAAGTGTTTTGTGTGTGGTATGGAAATCACGTATTTAATGCAAGGGTTAACTGTATTGAATATTTAGATGACATACAGAAATATCCCTCAAAAAAGTATCGTTAGCCATGGGGGTCCATGAGATTCGTGGCTTTCCGAACAATGTTACTCGACCTGCTTCTGAACAGTTGGTAGTTCTACATACGCGACCTTTGAGTCATGAATGAGTATACTGTATACGTTTTCGAACGATGTGAATCTTCCGAGGCCCATGATCATATATTACATGACGCGGAATGGCTGTCGTAAATGGACACCAACACCATGCCAGTCATCAACAGGATCTTACATTGAATGAATCGAGGAATTATTGGGGAGACATAGCAAGATGTGAGAGGTGCTATCATTGCCCTTCATAAGGAGGGTATGCATAACACTGAGATAGCATGGCGAACAGTATTACACTATAAGTGTGTCAAATGAGGAGTGACTGATCCACATGTAACTTAAGGTTTTTGAAATATGTAATTAAATTAAACACGATTTTTCATATAGTTACGCGAATGATGGGGTGTGGTGGAAGCATCGTGGTCTGGCACACACACACAAGCACTGTAAACGTTGTGTAGACTCACTGGGTGGTTTGGAAGTGTTTATTTCCATTCATACTTTCGTAACTACAACCTATGGTAATTTTTCTTCGTGTTCATATATAATGAAGATAATGCAGAATATAAAATGCCATATACAATATTTAAACATAATGTCATCTATACAGCCGTACTATGACTGTGTGTGTTCGTGCGTGTGTTGCCTCGTGATAGTTAGAGTGGGCCCCCGTCCAAAAAGGACACTGCACTAACCTCCAGCACCGACCCAGGTGGGCTAGAGAATATGGTTTCCGACTGTACAGTCACCCAAAAAAGTCCTGTCGCGAACCATGAACCCCGAGATTCAGACTCTTGAATCCGAAGCATTTATGGACAGAATAATGTATCAGTGTCTACTGTTTAGGGTTCACGAGTCTGAATCTCGGGGTTCATGGTTCGCGACAGGACTTTTTTGGGTGACTGTACATATTAATGACATGGCAGATCCCATGTAGACCAATATATTTTACAGTATTACTGTAGCTGTTCACTCTAATATCAAGTCCTATTTGCTTAGTCACTCTTCATTAATCAGACATATCGTGAACATGAGTAGGAATATTAGTGAAACTTGGTTTGAATGAAACTCTTAGTACAACGATGTATTGGTGAAATGTCCGTTTTGAGGTCTGTCTCAGTCTCAGTTATGATGTTCCAAAACACTTCCATTTAATGTATATTTCAGTGTTATTGTATTCATCAGTCAGTGGCTTGTTTACATATGCCTTTCTTCAACCCAGCATGAGATATACATTAATATAGATGAATGGATTTCTTGTTATATTGAAGTATTTAGTACACCATACTAGGACGACTCCCTCCCCCAATCCTACCCTCATCTCTAGCTGTTGCTGATATAGCGAGCAGGCATACCAACTTATGATAGTGCACTGGGGATCATATCAAAGCATTTCGTTTAGCGTTTCAAAGTGTAGCGATGGAAAAACTAACGATACTTTTTTGGGGGGACTGTACAGTCTCGTTCAAGATTCTTCAAACACTGCTGGAGACAGCTGGCAACTCAAGGCCGTTTGTTTACTATAGTACATTGTAAGAATTATGAATAAATGTAAAAGTGATCGGTTACTTCGTTCCCCGTTGCTTAATTTAATGGTCGGGTTTTGTTGTTTCGTATTATGTTATAGGGCCAATTGCAAGAACAGTCGTGGGGTGTACGATGCCATTTACGATGACCTTCTTGTCCTGGTCTTTTTTCAGCAATATCGCCTTTAACACATGGAATTCTGCACTTTTCGAAGCCTTGGAGGAGTCTCGAAACAAGTTTCCTGGTGGGAATTATTAGCTAGTGCTGTACTCAAAATATCGAAACTTCGAGATCTCTCCAGAGCTTCAAAAGGGTGGTATAACTGAAACAAGATCAGGGCAAGAAGGTCATCGTAAATGGCATCGTGCACCCCACGACTGCTCTTGCAATTGGCCCATACTACGAAGATCTTGAACGAGACTGTACAGTCACCAAAAAAAGTCCTGTCGCCTCTCATCCTGAACCACGAACCCCGAGATTCAGACTCGTGAACCCGAAGCAGTAGACACTGATATATTATTCTGTCCATAAATGCTTCGGATTCAAGAGACGAACCTTGGGGTTCATGGTTCAGGATGAGAGGCGACAGGACTTTTTTGGGTGACTGTACATGTGTTCGACTTTAATTACCAGTACGGCCCCTGGTGAGTTTGACCTTTACTCAGCGGCTTACCGTCCACCATCAACACCTGGCAACACCAATTACTCTGCTATTCAAAGGTACTTGTTGAAGTAATGTTTTGAGGACACCTGTCCGTCTGTCCATGATGTATACCACCTGAGTCTGCCAACAACACTTAGTCTACTCACACATGTATACAGTGAACTACTGCAGATGTGAAAGATGTATTGAATTCATCGTAATGTCACGATGGTTACATTCTATCTCGTGAGTATACATGGCTGAGTTTCAGGTCAAATGGTCCTCTTTTCTAACAGCCTCACCCTTAAAAGGCCTTAACTTACCCATCAGGATTGGGACCCATTAGGATTGCAGCCCATTAAATTAAAGGTCCAGTACCACTGGAGCTTGCTACGACTGAATCGTAATGATCCAGTTAATTTAGGTTTGATGATATTGGATCTCGGTCATACTTTATCAGTGATCCGTGGCGCGGTGTTCAGTGTTCCTCGGAACAGACCACAAGGACTTGAATGTAGTTTCACGAGGCGACTGGCTGCACCATGCCATGATTATTGAAATTTTCCTTTTGACAGTGAAGTAGCTGTACACAAGTTTACTTGGTCCATTGTTGATCTGATGTGTTCCAGCACACATCTACAGTACCTCTCACTCGCCAAGGGCTATTACCTTCTATATATCTATATAACCCTTTGGTTCTTCCTTGACGTTGAAGCTCATCCAGTCATCCGTCTCATTCTGTAGTGTGTTTGTAACAAGGATACCGAAAAGTGTATCTCTGCTGCTCCCAACATGCCTCACTAAGGACAACAGGAACAAAGCCAAGCAATTTTCCACATTTGTCTAACAGAAAGTTAATCTGAAGATCATTTTGCTTCAGTGATCTTAAACATTTCGTGTGTCTCGTCATTCTCAACTTCCGAATTTCTTTTTATTTATGTTTTCATCAGAAATACTCAAAATGAGAAATCAGAAGGATTTTGAAAAAGTACTGACGTCGAGTACCTCGTGCTTTGTCCCTACACACCTACATAATACCATGTCCTTCTACGTCAGCAGTTCTCATGTATATACAGTACTTACGACACTGATTCACCCTACAGTAAGTAGAAATCTATAAAGAAAGTAAAGTTTGACTGGTGCTCCACAGTACGACAATGCCCCTGTATGTCAGGATAGTACTGTACCTGTTGAACCATATAATTTGTTCATATAATTTCATTCTATTTCCTTGACCAAAAGAGAAATGTATATAAAGTAAGCAATTTTTAAGTAAATTCAAACCTTATATCTGATTCGTTATTGAAGAGTTAAACATGTGTTGTCTTGCGATATTTTTTTTTTTTTTTAGAATTATCGGAGGTGGAGGGAGAGAAACTTTCCTGGGAACGGTCTTGATGACTGCTCTCATGGACGACAGGCCTGTTAGTGACCAGCCTGTTGACGTGTGATGGTACGGGGAGCTGGATGATAGAACTACAAGTGGCAGATCTCTGTCTAGTGTGGCAGGTCTCTGTATGGTGTGGCAGGTACCTGTATGGTGTGGCCGGTCCCTGTATGGTGTGGCAGGTCCTTGTATGGTGTGGCAGATCCTTGTATGGTGTGGCAGATCCTTGTATGGTGTGGCTGGTCCCTGTATGGTGTGGCAGGCCCCTGTATGGTGTGGCAGGTTCCTGTATGGTGTGGCAGGTCCTTGTATGGTATGGCAGAAGAGAAGGAGGGCAGGAGGCGGGGTGTGTAAGGGTCAGCGGAGGATGTTGCGGTACAGCCCCACCAAGTTGGTGTCGAAATCTGTGTGGGTGACGTGCTCCAGGCTGGGCGTCCCTGGCTTGTGGGTCTTAGTGTGCCACACTAGTACCTGTAACATAAGACATACTCGGTTAACAAGCGAAGGGTGTTGTCAGTCTGGGTGTTGGGTTAATTATTTTATTTTATTTTGCCACTTACAGCGGCTAGCTTATTGTACACCCCATACTCATCATGTGAGCGGTAGCGCAAAGGGATTACAGAGTAGAGTTCACAAAGGGTCTGTATAACTAACCCCTGTGGTCAGGATATTATGACATTAAATGTTACAGAGTATTTCAAATAAATTCTTTTTTAGTTCTGCACACAGAGGGTAACTTATTCGCAACTGCGTGAGTACAGGAGTGTGAGAAAATAATTATGTCTGCTTTGTTATTCACATTTACGTGAGAGGTATTCAAGCACATTGTGTGTTTGGTTCTATTCATGGGAAATGACATAGCTACTGAGTGCAAAGAAAAGTGGCTACAATCTTAATAAGTATGCTATGTTGTCATAAGAGATAAAGTGTTGTGCCATTTCACATACATTCTGCTTGGACCTGCCCCTAAAAGGTTCTATCTTCACACAGTCGAGGACGTAGTGTTTGAGTGTGTGGCCATATGTTTGACCACACACTCTACTTTTAGTTTTGTTCACATATGCCTGAGGGGCATACTGCGAGGTACTTGTATCCTAACCTTAGTCTAGACTCTAGCGGTTACAACATCTTGTAATCTAGTGATCTTGTTACTTGCTCCATATACATCTTTCACTTTATACATCTCATCATGGTAAACAGTGGATTGACTAATTCCTGTTTGCACTTGTCTGCTTGCGTCAAATTCATCAATAAGTTCTTTCCTAATTACAGTTTTTAGGGTTCTTTTTGGCAGACCCAAATTGTAATCAACAGTGTCTTTGTTAGACGCGAGTTTGGCGAGGGCATCAACTCTGTCATGTTTTATGAGGCCTATGTGAGAGGGGATCCACAACGGTTTGACCCTGACACCCCGGTCAACAAGGTATGCATATTTGTGTCTGACTTTATAGACAAGCGTCGTGACAACTTGAGTTGAGGGTGTCAAGGACAAGTAGTGAGGATAGAGAATTAGTAATGATGAGACTGTCAGTGACAGTGGTTTCAATAAATTTATTGGCTGTGAGTATGGCAACTAATTCAGTTTGTAGAGTGGATGCCCACTTGTTAATTCTAACTCCTTTCTCAATTGTATTACCGTTGGGTTGAGTCACAACGGCAGCACTTCTGGGTGTTGGGTGTTGTCAGCTTGTGTGCTGGGTGTTATCAGCCTGGGTGTTGGGTGTTGTCAGCTTAGGTGTTGGGTGTTGTCAGCTTGGGTGATGGGTGTTATCAGCCTGGGTGTTGGGTGTTGTCAGCCTGGGTGTTGGGTGTTATCAGCCTGGGTGATGGGTGTGCATAATCTTACCTGTACGGCCGTGTAGATGACTGACTCGTGTAGATCACCTGTGTAGGCTGGTGACTGACTCGTGTAGATCACCTGTGTAGGCTGGTGACTGACTCGTGTAGATCACCTGTGTAGGCTGGTGACTGACTCGTGTAGATCACCTGTGTAGGCTGGTGACTGACTCGTGTAAATGACCTGTGTAGGATGGTGACTGACTCATATAGGTGACCTGTAACCTACCTGGGTACAGCCAGAGGCGAGGGGCTCCAGGTCGTCAAGTTCGAGCCTGAGGTTCCTGAGGAAGCCGTCCTCCAGATAGGAGAGGCGGGTGGGGATGGTCGCCTGAGGGTTGGCGTGTAGGACCCGTAGATTAACAGCGAACCCGGCCATGTCCACCGCGAACTTCCTCCCAGCCTGTCCCACAAACACTCTACTTTAATATACTGTATGTTAATTAACCACCACGAACAACACTGCCCACCATTGTTCTTGCCTCACCTCACCCACTCGTATCCTTGGTCTTACTCTAACCAATAATTTCTCTTGGAATCAATAAATTTCTGATGTCACAAAGAATGTATTAAATGAAAAACTTTTATATCATGGACTTGATCACACATTCCTACATTTTTTTTTATTTTTACAGCAGCCAAGTTCACCTCCATACAGCTTGCTCTCACGTGTGGAGTAGCGCACCTCAGTCCTGATTATCAATATTTGACAAAACACAATCGAAGATCATTTGCCAATTCAACGATCAGTATATCACTTTCTCCTTACCTCTTCATCATATCAAATGACTTTTCTGTCCACTTTCTCTTTTTTTCCACTTTTATTACGATGGTCAGTGCACCAGTACAATCCAATCTATCACCCCTTCTCCTTTCAGCTTCAGTCACAACACACATTATGCCATCCTTACTCTGTGCAGGTCTCCTATAGTCGAACATTACCATTATTCGCCTCCTTCATCCCTGTCTTCTCTCATGCTTCCATCCACACACAAATTATAACTCTTCAAATGTAAGACATACCGGTATACACCCACGCCTTACTCACAGTCCAGTCATGCATCTTCTTCCTTCTTATTCATGGTGTACTGGACAAGTCTACCTTGAGAACAGTAGTCAGGTGAACTTCCCCTCGATCAGTACACAGTAGGATAATGTTTATTAACTCCCCACCAACCACCATGCTTGAGTAAATAACTGAGTGACTGATTGAGTAAATGAGACACTAAGTGACGGAAGGAGTGGTTGATTCAATAAGTCAGACGCTTGTGATTACACACATTGTCCCTTGATGAATGTGTTTATATAATGAGTCCCTTGATGTTTATATTTATAGTCCCTTGATATTCGTGTTTACATACAGAGTCTTTGACGTTTTGTTTATATATAAAGTTCCTTGACATCAAGGAAGAGACTCACATTTTAAATGTGGTGTAGAGAGAAAGAGGAGGAGAGACTCACCTGGAAGGCGTGGTAGAGGGAGAAAGAGGAGGAGACTAACCTGGAAGGCGTGGTTTAGAGAGAAAGAGGAGGAGAGACTCACCCGGAAGGCGTGGTTTAGAGAGAAAGAGGAGGAGAGACTCACCTGGAAGGCGTGGTTTGAAAGAGGAGGAGAGACTCACCCGGAAGGCGTGGTTTAGAGAGAAAGAGGAGGAGAGACTCACCCGGAAGGCGTGGTTTAGAGAGAAAGGAGGAGAGACTCACCCGGAAGGCGTGGTAGAGGGAGAAAGAGGAGGAGACTCACCTGGAAGCCGTCGTGGAAGCCCACCACCTTGCCGTCCCTGACAATAGGGGAGCTGATGCCCAGGCTGAGGATCATCCCTACAGGAAACACTGATGCCTTCTTCGTGGTGCGTATCTATGGGAAGACACTAACGTTACTGAATCTGTCCCTGATCCGCCCCGCCCCGCCCCGCCCCGTCCCTGCCTCGTCCCGTTCCGTCCCTGCTTCCCGCTCACCCGCCCTCTCCCGACCCTGTTCGCCCCTGCCCCGGCCCCTGTCCCACCTGCCCCTGTCACTGCCCCCCCGGCCCCTTGCGCCCCGCCCTGTGCCGCCTACCTGCAGAACATGGCCCACCCTACTGGGGCACAGCCCACCTGCTGGAACGCGAGCCCACCTACTTGAACACCTTGACCCACCTGCTGGAACATGACCCACCCTACTGAAACATAACCCACCTGCTGGAACATGACCCACCTGCCAGAACATGACCCACCTACTGGAACACGGCCACCTACTGGGCACGCAGCCCACCTACTGGGAACACTTGACCCACCTGCTGGAGCATGAGCACCTACTGAAACATAACCCCACCTACTGGGGCATGGCCACCTACTGGAACACCCAAGCCCACCTACTGGAATATGACCCACCTACTGGAACATGACCCACCTGCTGGAACATGACCCACCTATTGGAACATGACCCACCTGCTGGAACATGACCCACCTACTGGAACATAACCCACCTACTGGAACATGACCCACCTACTGGAACATGACCCACCTACTGGAACATGACCCACCTACTGGAACATGACCCACCTGCTGGAACATAACCCACCTACTGGAACATGACCCACCTACTGGAACATGACCCACCTACTGGAACATGACCCACCTACTGGAACATGACCCACCTGCTGGAAGAGTCGGATGTCGTAGGAGTTATCGTCGTCAGCAAAGTAAAGGACACCATGAAAAACGTTCTCCCTCAACCACCGGATACCTTCCCTCCTGTCATATTGATATTGAGACAGTTTAATTTAGACAGAAAAAAAAATTGATGCAGTGTGGAAAATAAAAGCAAAATTGATATGAGTGAACCAAGCGAGAAGCCTGGGCACTCCAAACAACACACTCACCGCCCACCTCTACCTAGTGACCCGAGACTGTCCCTTCCTATACCTCAGTCATTCCTACACGTAAGTCAGACAATTCCTCGTGATTTCGTTATTTGTAGACACTGAAATATCCGCTAAAATGGGCATGTAGTGTGGTCGTGTAGTGTGGTCATGTAGTGTGGTCGTGTAGTGTGGTCATGGGTGGTCATGTAGTATGAAGAGAACAGGGGTGGGGGGAGGCACGTGTCAGTGGTTGCGTGGTTGCTGGTTGACTGTGAACGGTGTACAGTAACTTAATACTCTGTTTCACTCTACACTGCTCAACAACATGTCCGTGTACTGGACCCTCGCTCAAGGACGTCACTGTGTTTCCAAGAAATTATGGCCTCTGATTCACAACACAACTTATTATTTCACAACACAACTTATTCTTTCACAACACAACTTATTACTTCACAACATAACTTATTACTTCACAACACAACTTATTACTTCACAACATAACTTAATACTTCACAACACAACTTATTACTTCACAACACAACTTATTACTTCACAACATATCTTAATGTTAGCTCCTTTGTATAAGTTGTGGCCTTTTATTGCAATTTTGATAGTGTCAGCTTTTTCTCTTCAAATGCTCACATTCTACATTAACTGTAAGTTCATAGTTTTCAAAATCTTGGCATTCAAATCTTTCTTCTAATACTCAAGCAGTGGTCAAGTATAAACAGCGGTGGCAGCGTGTGTAACCTTCATTCACTCTTACATCTTCTCTTGCAACTGTCACCGTCACCTGCACCACACCACACCTGTCCATATTACCTGTACAACACCACACCTGCACCACACTACACCTTTCCATATTACCTGCGCCACACTACACTTGCCCATATTACTTACACCACACCACACCTGCAAAACACCTGCACCAAATCCTTCACTTATGAACGTCCCTTGACCACCTGTAGACGGGCTCTTACCTGTTGAAGACGCCTCTGCCCATCAACTTCTGGTTCTTGTACTCGTCAGGGGTGGTAGCACACAGGTGGGTGAAGGGTAGACCTGTACGCTCCAGTAACTCCTCTACCACCTGACTCGTCCTCTGTAAGGCGTCACTGGGAGTCAAACTACTCAACATCCCCACACCATGATAAACACCCTAGAAAAACTAAATCATGGGTAAATGTAAGTTAAATTAAATATGTAAGTGGTTTGAGTACAGTTAATTTTTCCATAGATTTTTGGGAGTCACGTCAGGTGATCAGATAAGAAAGGTTGATTCTAGAGAGAGAGTTTGACTTTAACAACTTGGGCAATGCATATTCAGGGTGCGTCCGTGGTCCTATTTTCCATTCATAAAGCATCTCGTGGCAGCTGAGCAACCCCAGGCAACATTCCTCCTTGGGTCGAATTACGGACAACGTAATGAATTTCTATCACATATAAGAAGAGCTTAATCTCCGAGAATGTTGAGTAGCCTTTAAACGCCCTTCCTGGTACCTGTCTCCTCAGCTGTTAAAGTAACATCTACATGACTGTTTGGGATTAACGAGAAAGAAAATAAACCACGAAATATTTAACGTAGAGTACATATTGTGTGACCCAGTTGAGCCAAGACATGACGTGTGTGTTTTAATTTATATGGACCAATATTCAGGATAATTGGAAAAGGGTGAGAAATGTACTTAACTTAATGGTGTGTCTTGCCCAAGTCTATTTACATGTGTTTGTTTTCACCACTTATCAGGTTACTAGCCGTTCGGGCGGTTGGTCTATCCAGTGTTAGTACAGGAGGGAACCAGAGTCCGGGAAACCTGTGATTCTTGGTATGAGTCACAATGGATAACACCCTTTCTGACATGTGTCAGGGCCAAGCAGAACTTGAACCCATGATATACAGTACTTGAGCTAGATACATGAGTGAAAATAAATGAGAGCTGTTTCTTTCGGATGCTGTCGAGAGGCAGTTTGTCCGATTATCGAGAAAGATTTAGAAAATAACCGGAATGACTGTGACCTGCATAATACAATATACAGTAGTGACGTAATATAGTGCTATCCCGGGATTTTTTTTTCTTTTGACGAGGGCGATGGTTGACGTTTTACATTTTTCCTGCGGAAAATTTTAGGATGGTTTTAGTGGATTCTGAGGCACATTGTCAACTTACGCGTCTATTGTCGCTTCTGCCAGCGATTTATTTTATTTATTATTTCACCACTGATTAGCTTGTTAGCTGCTTGGGTGGTTAGTCTGTTCCTCGTCACTTTCTTATGAATTTTATTGTCCAGAGTGAGTACAGCCTGTTGTCTTCTCCAGAGTCTGTAAAGGTAATTGGTTAGTCATGCTCCTTCACTCATGATCATCCACACTATTGAACGCAAGAGAACAGTATTAATTTGTTTGATATTCGTCAATATTATACAAAATAGTAAAGTAAGTTCTGGTTAAAAGGTTATTTCAGGTTATGTCGTTGGTTTGAAAAATAGCAGATGAAATTTAATGTGGACAAATGTAAAGTACTTAGCCTAGGAGATGTAAACAGAGAAACCAGATATCAGATGAACAACGTTGACATAGAGAAATCCGACTGTGAGAAAGATTTAGGAGTAATGATAAGTCGGAATCTTAAACCAAGACACAATGCATATTTGCTCGAAACAAGGCGAACAAAGTATATGGGTTCATACAAAAGAGTGTTAGTTACAAGACTAGCAAGGTTATCCTAAAACTATATCTACGCTTGTGAAACCTCTCTTGGATTATGCAGTTCAGTTTTCGTCACCGTACTACAGAATGGATATCGAATCCCTAGAAAGCATACGGAGGAGGATGACAAGATCTATCCCGAGCATTAGGAACCTTGAGTACAGAGACAGGTTAAAGCATCTAAATTTGCACTCCCTCGAGAGAGTAGAGTGAAGGGGGGGTGGGTGATATGATCGAGGTGTATAAATGGAAGTCAGGGTTAAACAAAGGTGATATAACAAAGGTACTCAAACTATCCAACCAGGAGCGAACTCGGAGCAATAGTTTCAAGACAAATTTAGATTAAGGTGCGAGATAGGTAAACATTGGTTTGGAAATAGAGTAGTGGATGAGTGGAACAAGTTGCCGAACTTCATTGTTAACTTGTACACGCTGGATAGCTTCAAACATAGGTTGGACGGATATATGAACGACAGGGGTTGGGTGTAAACGGGGCTGCCTAGTTTGGACCAATAGACCCGCTGCAGTTTCCCGCCATTCTTATGTTGTTATGTTAACAGTGCGTTTACAGGTATATGTCCCAGAAGATAGATAGTAACTGCTCTCTGCTAACCAGTGTCCAGTATCAGGTGTCACATCTATTGAATGAAACAACAACTACAGTACTTGAAACACCACGGAAGATTCCCTTTAACTGAATGAAACAACACATGTTTAAAGATTCCCATAAAATGAATGAAACAATGCCTGAAAGACAGCCGATCCTCCTGAGTGTAGATTGTGAACGGCGGCGGTTGGTCACCCTCGGCCTCTATGCAGTGACCGTCGCCTCAGACGTGACTCGGGTTGGTATGGCAGTTTGGGGTAGAGGCGCCCTCAAGGTAACTACAGTAATAAGCGTCTCAGGCAGTTTTGATTCAACTCCAAGTTTAGATTTGTCTTCCTGCAGGTATGGCTGGTGTGATATAGAAACTGTAGGTGTGGGTACAGCTATGATATAGGTATTGATATTGAAACAGTTTATTTTGCCAGAAGAACACAGATAGAGTCGATAAAAATAAAAATATTAACATGGCTGAGCCAGTTGAGAGCCTGAGCTCTCTTGAAGGCACCTGATGTATACAGGTGTGATATAGGAAGGTGTGGGTACAGGTGTGTCGTTTGTTTCACACTTGTACCCACACCTATCAATATCATATCTACACCCACACCTGCACTCACACCTATCTATATCACATCTACAACCCACGCCTGCACCCACACCTACCTATATCACACCTGCACCCACACCTACCGATATCACACCTGCACCCACACCTACCTATATCACACCTGCACCCACACCTACCTATATCACACCTGCACCCACACCTACCTATATCACACCTGCACCCACACCTACCTATATCACACCTGCACCCACACCTACCTATATCACACCTGCACCCACACCTACCTATATCACACCTGCACCCACACCTACCGATATCACACCTGCACCCACACCTACCTATATCACACCTGCACCCACACCTACCAATTATTCATAGGGTGGATGTGTAGACCTGGTGTTTGGTGTGGTAGACCTAGTGTTCCCTGGTGTGGTAGACCTAGTGTTCCCTGGTGTGGTAGAGCTAGTGTTCCCTGGTGTGGTAGACTTAGTGTTACCTGGTGTGGTAGACCTAGTGTTCCCTGGTGTGGTAGACCCCTGGTGTGGTAGACTAGTGTTACCTGGTGTGGTAGACCTAGTGTTACCTGGTGTAGTAGACCTAGTGTTCCCTGGTGTGGTAGACCTAGTGTTACCTGGTGTGTAGACCTGAGTGTTACCTGGTGTGGTAGACCTAGTGTTCCCTGGTGTGGTAGACCTAGTGTTACCTGGTGTGGTAGACCTAGTGTTCCCTGGTGTGGTAGACCTAGTGTTACCTGGTGTGGTAGACCTAGTGTTACCTGGTGTGGTAGACCTAGTGTTACCTGGTGTGGCTGTTATTACTAGACTTGTTTCCTAAATGTCCACTATAAGCTAAGACGGCAGAGAATGGATGGATTCACTCACCTCAGCGTCCTCCACTACTATCCAGTGTAGGTTAGGGACGTGCATCAAGGTCTGGGCTAGTCTGGTCATGTCGGCCATCTGCGTGTTGCGGCGGTAGGTGGGAGTAATCACATAGATGGTTGGTTGCGCTACACACACACACACGAAAAATAACAACATAAATATAGTTAAAACACAACCAAATGGTAAATACATATCTTCAGTCTTCACTACACTTAGAACTGTAAAATAAGAAACATGTAAGTGCTGTATATAATAGATAGCGTGTAAAATAACTATCATATTAAATATGCCGTGTAAAATAAGTATCATATTAAATATGCCGTGTAAAATAAGTATCATATTAAATTAATATTGTAGTAATCAAAATATATAAGTACCACGTAAAATAATCCCGAAAATGAAATATTGCATTGGATTAATTCCGTGTAAGTGAAGTAGCGCGTGAAAGGAATACCACTACAACGTCAACTGAATGATGTATAAGGAGGGAGAGAGATGCTCTTCTCACTGAAAGAAACAAAAGAATGGGAGAAGGATTGGATTCATTTGCATGAGCAGATAGAGGATGTTTTTATTAAGGCTACTGCTACTACTAAAGATATTTTTATTAGTTATTTTTCCTCTTCTCAAATGCATTTTTCTTGACTGTTTTCCCTGTAATATACTGGACTGAGGAAGGTATCAGTCGAGCACTGACCCTTCGCAGCTTAAGCCCGAAAGCTTACATCTACTTGCCTGGTAAAAGTAAATTTTCTTTCCCTTCTACCAGTACACTGCATCGTTGGATTTCTAAGCTCAGTGTGGGACCAGGGGTGTTGCATGCAGTTCTGCAACTGTTGTCCCATAAATGTGAGTCTTTGGATGACCGTGTACATCTACGTGTTTTATCTTTTGATGAAACAAGTGTTAGTGGCGGTAACACTTGTCATGTGATGTAATAACTCTTGTAACTTCACCCCACACCTGGAGGCAGAGGCAGCACAGGTGATCACCTGCCCTAATTACCACTGACATTATAGCCTGGCGGTAACATTTGTCATGTGAGGTCATAACTCCTGTCACCTCATGTCTACATTATTAACGTAATGGACACAACAGGGAGGAAAGGAACTCCTGTAGGGAATTGTATAGTTATAATTACCCCATCTTAAGCTGCACTTTTTTTTTACGGGGATTAGCCCACTCGGGCACAGGTCACTGAACATAAGAACATAAGAACATAAGAATGGAGGAAACTGCAGCGGGCCTGTGGCCCATACTGGGCAGTCCCGTTTACACCCAACCCCTATTGCTCATATGAGCATCCAACCTATGTTTGAAGCAATTCAGCGTATTCGAGTTAATGATGATATTTGGTAACTTGTTCCATTCATCCACTACTCTGTTTCCAAACCAGTGTTTACCTATTTCACGCCTAAATCTAAATTTGTCTAATTTAAAACCATTGTTACGAGTTCGCACCTGGTTGGATAATTTGAGTACCTTTGTAATGTCCCCTTTGTTTAGCCCTGTCTTCCACTTATACACCTCTATCAGGTCGCCCCTCGCTCTGCGTCTCTCCGAGGGAGTGCAAATTAAGATGCTTTAACCTGTCTCTATACTCCAAGGTTCCTAATGCCCGGGATTAGTCTTGTCATTCTCCTCTGAATTCTTTCCAAGGATTCTATATCCATTCATAATACGGTGACCAGAACTGAACTAAGTAATCAGGTGTGGTCTCACAAGGCAAAAGATACAGTTTTAGGATGACCTGCATTAGTCTTGTAACTAACACTCCTTTGTATGAACCCAAGTACTTTATTAGCCTTGTTACGAGCAAAAACACATTGTTTACTTGGCTTAAGATTTCTACTTATCATTACTCCTAAATCTCTCTCGCAGTCGGATTCCACAATGGCATCGTTGTTCATCTGGTAACTGGTTTCCCTGTTTACATCTCCTATACTGAGTACTTTGCATTTGTCCACATTGAATTTCATCTGCCATTTTCCCGACCATTCGAAAAATTTGTTTAGATCTTCCTGTAGTTTTGCACAGTCCTCGTCAGATTTGATAACTTACGTCCTATTTTTAGTGTCATCAGCAAATTTACTTATGTTGCTGTCTATGCCGATATCTATGTCGTTTATGTATAATAAACAATAATGGTCCAAGTACTGAGCAGCAGGGAACTCCACTTGTGACGTTGCTCCAATAGGACTTAGATGCGTTAATGCTCACTTTCGCTGTTTCCTGTCATAACCACGCCTAATCCATTTAAGGATATGCACCTTTGATGCCATGAGCTTCTACCTTTCTAATTAGTCTTTCGTGGGGACTCTGTCGAAGGCTTTGCTAAAGTCGAGATATACCACATCATAATTGTGCCCCTCGTCCACCGATTCGAAAACTGATGAAAAGAATGTTAATAGATTAGTTAGGCAAGAACGTCCACTTGTGAAGCCATGCTGGGAATCATTGATCAATCGGTGCTTCTCCAGGTGATTTCGAATAGAGTTTGAAATGATTGCTTTCAGTAATTTGCCTACTATTGATGTTAGACTGATTGGGCGGTAGTTAGAGGATAGTGATCTATCCCCTTCTTGAAAATCGGTATTACATTCGCTATCCTCAGGATTCTGGTACTACACCTGTTTTTAAGGACATGTTAAACAACTTTGCTAAGGGCATACTAAGCTCTTCCTTGCATTCCTTTACTAAGCTCTTCCTTGCATTCCTTTAATACTCTGGCAAATATCTCATCGGGACCAGGTGACTTATTAGGCTTTAGTTTGTCTATTTGCTTACTAACATCGTTACTAGTCACTACTATCTCACTTAATTTGTTTTCTTCACTATCTCTGAATAGAGTCGGTGCCTCGGGTATCATGTTTAGATTTTCGGTGGTGAAAACTGTTGAAAAATATTTATTCAAATTATTGCTCATTTCTCCGTCGTTATCAGTGAGCTCGCCGGAGTCTGACAGTATTGGTCCAATCTTTTCTCGTGTTTTAGTTTGATACATTTGGTAGAATCCTTTGGGGTTTGTCTTCGCCTCCCTTGCTATCCTTACCTCATTATTCCTCTTTGCTTTCCTTATCTCGGTTTTAACTCTACTCGCCAATACCCTATAATAGTCCCGGAGGTGAATTTCGCCACGATTTATCCTTCTACCTATAGCCTTCCTTTGGCCAATGATGTTCTTTAAATAATTATTTATCCATTTAGGGTCATTGTTGTCTGATCTGAGTTTTTGTATGTATGTTAAAGTTGTCGTGGAACTCGGCAATCTCAGATCTCGTTATCAGGTCGGTGTCATCTGTCAGGTTCACGGCCAAGCGCGACACCCCTCTCTCAGCTGCCTCTTTAAACTGTCAAAGTTTGCCCTTCTGAAATCTGGTACTTTAGTGGAATTTTCCTTACGTCTGCCCTGAAAATCTAACTGGAATCGAATTTCTTTGTGATCGCTGTTTGCAAGTTCGTTCCCTACCTCGACATTGCTAATGAGGTTTTCTCTGTTCGTCAGAACTAAATCCAGTATATTATTACCCCGTGTGCCCCACAACGGGCCTGGGGGGCGAAAATGTAATAATATTAATAATTCATATCAAAATACTGTATATAGCTAAAACTGAAAGGCATTCTTTTTCTTTTAATCTTTCCTACTATGTATCACCCACTGCACTGATTGATGTCCTTAGCTAAAGTTATATGCAAGATTAGACACTGAGATAACAAAGTATAGATTGTAGAACCATAAAATGTTGCGTAGGTAGGGGAGGGAGCGAGGGAGTCTACCAGCTGACGTCAGCAAAGCACTTGTGCGCTGGTTGGCTTCCTCTTCTATAGACCTTGGTTCCAATAGTTCACAATTCTTCTCAATGTGAGCCCTTGTGGGGCGGGCGTCCGCCAGCTCCAGGTATGGATACTCGACTGAATAGTGGCCCTTTGAGATATTTATACACCTCAATTAGGACAGCACTTGCCGTCTATAGTTTAAGCTAGGCAGTTGTAGGCGCTCTAATCTCTCTGGATAATTGAGGTATCAAAGTGCAGACACTAGTCTGGTGGCCCTCCTCTGGACATTTTCAACCAACTGACAGTCCCTAGCATATCTTTGGGACCAAAAGGGATAACAGTACCCCAGGCGGGGAAGCACGCCCTCTTGAAGATCGTTCCGAGGGACGGTCTATATATCTGAACGATCTTCTTATAAGACCTACTAGCTTAATTGCTTGATTCACCTTCTTCTCACAATGGCCCGAGAAATTCACTTCATTGTCATCATACACACCCAGGTCCTTTTCGCATTCGGTCTCTATTTAATGCAGTTTCTTCGTCCCGTTGGGACATGTGATACGCCTCCTTGCCGTTGGTAGGACCTAGGTGCATCCTCTTACACTTCGTGACATTGAATCTTAGCAGCCATTTCTTCGGCCACTTTTGAAGCTCACAGAGGTTCTTTCTGCAGCTCTTCGCAGTCTGTTTGGTTCTTGAATAACTTGGCATCGTCCGCAAACATTTGTATGGAGGAGTGTGTAGTTTCCAGCATGTCATTTGAAACAAACAAACAACAACAGGTCCAATACACTGCCCTGTGGTACTCCACTTGTCACAGGTACACATGACGATTTCGTACCATTAATCACCACACACACTCTTTGCGGTCATGCAGAAAGTCTCCGATCCACGCGAGGACACTTCCCTGAATCCCGTACCCTTCCACTTGAATTCTAAGCCTTTGATGGAGTACGCTGTCGAAAGCCTTGGCAAAATCTAGGTATATATTGTCGATATTGCCACCCTGTTCCAGAATTTGAATCCAAACATCCAGTACATTGAGTAATTGTGTTAAGCTGGAGCGTCTTGGCATAAAACAGTGTTGACAATCCTTTACAAGGTTGTTTCGCAGTAGATATTCCATCATGGCATCTCTTATAATGCTCTCAAGTACTTTACACACTATGCTGCTCTAGCTCACCGTCCTATAATTATTTATAGATTGGTGATCTCTCTGTTTGAAATTGGGACTCGCATTAGCCATTTTCCAGTCGCTGGATATATTTTGCTGGTCCATGCATCTCTAGAAGAGTTTTAAGAGGATCGGCAAGCTCTTTGCACATCTCTCTTAGCACTCTGGAATGCATGCTGTTAGGTCCCGGGCTCTTATAAACTTTAAGCTTTGATTTTCTTTTTCCTAATACTCTTCTGAGAACAGCGCTGCGTCAACCCGTCTCTCCTCAAACGTCCACATGTGTCTTTAATTTCAACTTTGCATAGCGGTAGAAAGCCTTTGGATTTTACTTAACCTCTTTTTCAGCCCTTCTACACTCAGACTTTGCTTGGTTCCTGGACTTGGCACACATCCTCCTGTTCTGCTCATCATTTGTCGCGACTCATGACCCATCTCTTGAAATTCTGAGATTTGTTCTTGATTTTGTCGACCGACGTACGTTTCATGTGTAACTGTCTCCTTGCAGTCCTGGAGCCAGTGAGTTTGGTCTTGGGTATATATTTATCAGTCAAATAGTTCACTGTACTGACTATGATATTCAGGATAGTATCTGCGTTCTTATTTCTCAGCGAGTCAAGCCAGTGCCTACCTGTTATTTCCCCATCATCCGGTTGTAATCACCTCTGTAATATTTGAACCTTGACCTGCTCTCATCATGTACCAAGTAATAGTTAAGTCTGAAGGATAACGTCACATGATAGCTGGTGACCACGGGGCTAGATGTTCCAAGTTGGCCACCAAGCCCTCCTCGTTAGTTACGATGAGGTTTAGCGGTTTTGGTGTTTGCTACCCTGTGTAATGAGTAGGATCTTTCACGTATTGGAATAGAAAATTGACTCCTAGAGTTTCTACAGAAAAAAAGTAGCAGAATTCTTAAGGTCATTTGGTGTAATTCCATTCCTCCAGTTGATGTCACCGTAGTTGAAATCTTCCATGACAAAGAGGTGGCTAGAGTTGAGTGCCATTGAGTTATTATTAAGACTCGTATAAATTCCTTCGATTCTTCTTGATCCATGATGGTCTCCACCTCAGGTTATCGAGCGCTGCTGTACTCTTCTTGTCTTCTATTTTCTCTATTTAATCTTTCTGGGGCCTTACATAACTTGGCTGGTTGTTTTTCGTTGTCCAGTGTTATATGAAAGCATTTTCTGTGGACCGTATTTACAGTGACCATATTTCAGGGCTTTATACCTTCATCCAATGTTACCACAAGATCCATAGTTCCCAGTTGATGAAATCATGATCTCACCCTCTCCTACTGTATATATAAGCCTTGTTATGTATTTCTCCTTAGTCTGTACTCACCCCTGATGATGTGAATTACACGCAAGCGCTTGGGAACTTCGTGTTTTCTTTTGTCCTTGTGGTTATGAGCATATACCTGGATCAAGCGCACCTACAGTGATTTACTTGCATATATATATATATATATATATATATATATATATATATATATATATATATATATATATATATATATATATATATATATATATATATATATATATATATATATATATATATATATATTATTTTGTTTCTCACTATTAATTTTTTATTTGTTGTTATTTATGATTATTATTATCATTTTTATTATTTTATTTTTATTTTTATTATTATTTTTATTTATTATTATTATTATTATTATTATTATTATTATTATTATTATTATTATTATTATTATTATTATTATTATTATTATTATTATTATTATTATTATTATTATAATAATATTAAATCCCCCCCCCCCGGCCCTGATGTGGGTCAGTGACCTGTGCCCGGGTGGGCTAATCTCCGCGAGAAAAAAAATTTCCTTTTATCAATTTGGGTTTAGAAAATATGAATTCCCCTGATGCCACTGTGACTGGAACTGTAAACAAAATCCGATACGCAGTTTCTGGATTAGGGAAGGAACCATTGAGAGATTTTAGAAACTGAAAGACTTGAAGTGCATTTTTCGTTTCTTTTGGGAAAGAGTTTTCGGAGTACTCGAATCTCTGAAAACAACTCGGCTTCGTCATTATCGTGAGAATTGCCAATACTCAATGAATTATCCAAAGCAGAGTTGTTCTCAGCTAGCTACTGCACAGCTGCTATACTATATGTTAAAACCGTTTGCCAATGTTCCTTTTCTTTAGTGAAGTTTTGTAACATGCGTGTATCTATGGTATTTATTGAACACCTTCTTTTCACTTCCACCAGTTTGGTTAAGGTTGAAAAAGTGTTCATTTGATGACTCATGAGATTTTGGTCTTTCACTAAAATGCTTCCAACCAGTACAGCCTCCTTTTGCTAGTTTATGCTTTGCATTTGAACTGTATAATTACTTACCAGGAGAGCGCAGGGGCCCCGCGGCGGGGCCCCTGGGAGCGCGAAGCCCTGGCTCGCCACCCCCTTGGGTGGCTCTGCCTGTAAATATCACGTTATGTTTCCTGACAGTAATAGTCTAAACTTTGAAGAAAGGTTAGATAAAAATATATACAAAGCTACGGAAATATAACTAAAAGTACTCACGTAGTATTCTCGTGTCCTCTCCTTTATGAGGGTGTTGGTTGTCTGGGTCACAATGCTCCTCTACTAAGGCCAGCTGCCGCAGCACCACCGTCAAGTACACGGACTCCACTAGGATTATCATCAACACCACTCCTCTGTATAGAGTCACGCGTACCATTTTGTCTTATTTTGTATCGTACGGATTAAACTACACAAATTTATTTTAATAAAAATTTAGTGAGACACCATATCCTGAGAATTTATCTTCTGTCATAGTCTATCATATTTTTTCTAGTTTTCTATAAAAGGATTTGGGTGTCGTTTTCTTTCAATTATAGTATCCCGTAGCAGCGCATAAATTACAATATTTTGAAAATGAGTTTTCTAGAGGCAAAATTCATGAAACTAAGGATTTACTACGTACTCGAACTCTTGAGATATAGAATATCGTCATAGTTATAGTGTCACTGTACGCCAACACTGTGCGTTACACCTTCACTATTCTCACTACACCCTACAGTCATTGACATGGACGCGGGAGGGGGATGCTGATGGTGCTGTAGCAACCCAATATTTGTGGTATAAGGCAGTGGTGGATCTAGAAATATATATTTTTTTAGGGTATTCTGACGTGTTGGGGGAGGGGGACCCCCCTGGTTAAAAAAAATGAAATCTGAACAATTTCAGGGCTATTTTGAGGTCACATGAACTGGATATTAGGACATATTTTATGGTTCAAGATGCAATATTTACAACATTTTAAGTGTGATATCAGTTGGATGTGCTCAAGATATACAACGTCCAGTACAGAGTAGTACAGACTTGTACCAAACTGTTCTGGTCCAAACATTACAAAACTGGATTTTATCGCCGTAAGAAAATGTGCAAACACATCGCCATACTGTTACTGCCTATAGTCATTGCATCACTATACTGTTACTACCTATAGTCATTGCATCACTATACTGTAACTACCTATAGTCATTGCATCACTATACTGTTACTGCCTATATTCATTGCATCACTATACTGTTACTGCCTATATTCATTGCATCACTATACTGTAACTGCCTATAGTCATTGCATCACTATACTGTTTCTGCCTATAATCATTGCATCACTATACTGTACTGCCTATATTCATTGTATCACTATACTGTAACTACCTATAGTCATTGCATCACTATACTGTTACTGCCTATAGTCATTGCATCACTATACTGTAACTACCTATAGTCATTGCATCACTATACTGTTACTGCCTATAGTCATTGCATCACTATACTGTAACTACCTATAGTCATTGCATCGCTATACTGTTACTGCCTATAGTCATTGCATCACTATACTGTTACTACCTATAGTCATTGCATCGCTATACTGTAACTACCTATAGTCATTGCTTCACTATACTGTTACTGCCTATAGTCATTGCATCACTATACTGTAACTTCCTATAGTCATTGCATCACTATACTGTTACTGCCTATAGTCATTGCATCACTATACTGTAACTACCTATAGTCATTGCATCGCTATACTGTAACTACCTATAGTCATTGCATCGCTATACTGTTACTGCCTATAGTCATTGCATCACTATACTGTTACTACCTATAGTCATTGCATCGCTATACTGTTACTGCCTATAGTCATTGCATCACTATACTGTTACTACCTATAGTCATTGCATCATTATACTGTTACTGCCTATAATCATTGCATCACTATATTGTTACTGCCTAAAGTCATTGCATCACTATACTTACTGCCTATAGTCATTGCATCACTATACTGTTACTACCTATAGTCATTGCATCACTATACTGTTACTACCTATAGTCATTGCATCGCTATACTGTTACTGCCTATAGTCATTGCATCACTATACTGTTACTACCTATAGTCATTGCATCACTATACTGTTACTGCCTATAATCATTGCATCCTCTATACTGTTACTGCCTATAGTCATTGCATCATTATACTGTTACTGCCTATAATCATTGCATCACTATACTGTTACCTATAGTCATTGCATCACTATACTGTTACATAGTCATTGCATCCTATACTGTTACTACCTATAGTCATTGCATCACTATATACTGTCGCATCATCACTATACTGTTACTGCCTATATTCATTGCATCACTATACTGTAACTACCTATAGTCATTGCATCCTATACTGTTACTGCCTATAGTCATTGCATCACTATACTGTTACTGTATACTGTTACTGCCTATAGTCATTGCATCACTATACTGTAACTACCTATAGTCATTGCATCACTATACTGTTACTACCTATAATCATTGCATCACTATATTGTTACTGCCTATAGTCATTGCATCACTATACTTACTGCCTATAGTCATTGCATCACTATACTTACTGCCTATAATCATTGCATCCTCTATACTGATACTACCTATAGTCATTGCATCACTATACTGTTACTACCTATAGTCATTGCATCACTATACTGTTACTACCTATAGTTATTGTATCGCTATACTGTTACTGCCTATAGTCATTGCATCACTATACTGTTACTACCGATAGTCATTGCATCACTATACTGTTACTGCCTATAATCATTGCATCCTCTATACTGTTACTGCCTATAGTCATTGCATCATTATACTGTTACTGCCTATAATCATTGCATCACTATACTGTTACTGCCTATAATCATTGCATCACTATATTGCTACTGCCTATAGTCATTGCATCACTATACTTACTGCCTATAGTCATTGCATCACTATACTGTTACTACCTATAGTCATTGCATCACTATACTGTTACTACCTATAGTCATTGCATCACTATACTGTTACTGCCTATAGTCATTGTATCACTATACTGTTACTGCCTATAATCATTGCATCACTATACTGTTACTGCCTATAATCATTGCATCACTATATTGTTACTGCCTATAGTCATTGCATCACTATACTGCTACTGCCTATAGTCATTGCATCACTATACTGTTACTACCTATAGTCATTGCATCACTATACTGTTACTACCTCTAGTCATTGCATTACTATACTGTTACTGCCTATGGTCATTGCATCACTATACTGTTACTGCCTATAATCATTGCATCACTATACTGTTACTGCCTATAATCATTGCATCCTCTATACTGACACTACCTATAGTCATTGCATCACTATACTGTTGCTACCTATAGTCATTGCATCACTATACTGTTACTGCCTATAGTCATTGCATCACTTTACTGTTGCCTATGGTCATTGCATCACTATACTCTTACTGCCTATAGTCACTGCATCACTATACTGTTACTACCTATAGTCATTGCATCACTATACTGTTACTGCCTATAGTCATTGCATCACAATACTCTTACTACCTATAGTCATTGCATTACTATACTGTTACTGCCTATAGTCATTGCATCACTATACTGTTACTGCCTATAGTCATTGCATCACTATACTGTTACTGCCTATAGTCATTGCATCACTATACTGTTACTGCCTACAATCATTGCATCACTATACTGTTACTGCCTACAGTCACAACTTCGCTATACTGTTATTAATAAAAGCGTTTCAGCAACACTGGCCTATATTTCCGATAAGTGAAAGCAATGACGGATTAGAAGTAATTAATGTGTAGCCAATCAAGGCACCTACATTTTAGAGGCACCCAACTTTAAATATAGAAATGATAATATAAGAAGCTAGCTTCTAGGGTTATTTCTATTATGTCACTGGCTAGTTACTCTTTTCGTTGCTGTATATAATTGGCAACGCTAGGATACATCACTGCGTACTCGGAGGTTTAAGGTGAACATAATTTTTCCGTGTTTCTTTAAGGCGTTTTACTTTTGTAACACAACGGCTTGTGGGTGCGTTATTAAAATTAGTTAGTGTTGGGCTGACCCCACACACACACGTCTGAACTGCACAGGGCCCCCCTCAGGTCTATGGCGCTGACCAGAAGTCTTAACTTTGATTATTAATAACAGTGGTGCCCAGTCCACATGCTACAGCACAACCCCTCCCACTGGGTAAGGATGTTAAGTTTCTGCTAAACGGATCTCGTCATGGCTGCCTGGGTGGGTTAGTAAGAAGAAATTATTTAAAGTAAAGTTGGTTTCTAGTCTCTCTTTTCTTTAGCCTCTTCACCCGCTCTGGGCCATTTCTTTGAGACTTGTGGGAAATTTAGACACTTACTCAGCAGTTACTTTAAAAGCCTCAGGGTGGCCCACTTGCTCATGGCCAGCCAGAGGAAGACCTGGTGTTATATATTTCTTGGCCGTTCACTCCTGGCCATCTGTGTGAGTATTGTAGGGGTGAAGAAGATGATGATGGTGTTGGTAGTGGTTGGTATGATGATGATGATGGTGTTGGTAGTGGTTGGTATGATGATGATGATGGTGTTGGTAGTGGTTGTTATGATGATGATGATGATGATGGTGTTGGTAGTGGTTGATATGATGATGATGATGATGATGATGATGATGATGATGGTAATGGTTGATGTGATGATGATGGTGTTGGTAGTGGTTGATATGATGATGATGATGATGGTGTTGGTAGTGGTTGATATGATGAAAGTGGTCGATATGATGATAGTGGTCGATATGATGATGTTGGTATTGGTGATGGTTATGGTCGATATGATGGTGTTGGTATTGGTGTTGGTGAAAGTGGTGGTGTTGGTATTGGTGGTGGTGAAAGTGGTGGTGTTGGTATTGGTGGTGGTGAAAGTGATGATGTTGGTATTGGTGGTGGTGTAAGTGGTGGTGTTGGTATTCATAATGGTGAAAGTGATGGTGTTGGTATTGGTGGTGGTGAAAGTGATGATGTTGGTATTGGTGGTGGTAAGTGGTGGTGTTGGTATTTATAATGGTGAAAGTGGTGGTGGTGGTGAAAGTGATGATGTTGGTATTGGTGGTGGTGTAAGTGGTGGTGTTGTGGTATTCATAATGGTGAAAGTGGTGTTGGTATTGGTGGTGGTGAAAGTGATGATGTTGGTATTGGTGGTGGTGAAAGTGATGGTGTTGGTATTGGTGGTGGTGAAAAGTGGTGGTGTTGGTATTCATAATGGTGAAAGTGATGGGTGTTGGTATTGGTGGTGGTGAAAGTGGTGGTGTTGGTATTGGTGGTGGTGTAAGTGGTGGTGTTGGTATTGGTGGTGGTGTAAGTGGTGGTATTGGCATTCCATAATGGTGAAAGTG